ACTCAAAGAAGTCAAAAAATTTTGAAAATTAAACTGTATATAGATATCACTAACATAAAAATTTGGTGAAAGTTTCAAGTATTTACAATGATTAATTTTTGAATTACAACCATATAAAAAAATCGATTTGGTCGAAAACTGGTTTTCTATAAAAATTCCCGTTTTTCTGTCATTTTTTTTTTTGTTTTTCTCGATTTTTTTGAAAACTGTTGAAAAATGTTTACTTTTTACTCTACAATGCACCAAGGATATTCATTTTGTCATCGGAAACCACCCCCGAAGTTTGAAATTGAAGCATTATTTCGACTACTTATGCTGTACACAGACACAAAAAAAAAAACACACATCATTGTAAAATCAATATATTCATCACTTCGTTCAGAATCTAAAATTAATATAATACATTTTATGATGATAGAAATATTATTCTATAGTTGTTATGAATTTATTGATTTCATAATATTGTGAATTATTTTATTTTTAAATTGAAGAATTATTAGTCTGTATTCAATATAATACAAATATACAATCAGCAAAATTTAAAAAATATATACGCAAGGTGTGATCACTCAATAGAAAGAGGCATCCATTGATACTACTTCAAATATAATCCTTTTATTTTATAATTTTTTGATTGCCTAAATTAGTAAATTACGAGACTAGTTACGTTTAAAACGTCAAAGAGCTAGAAGGATTGTCAGAAATAGTGTCAGAGGACAAATTGGAAATGTATGAATACGGGTGATTGTGTGTATGTGCTTAAAAGTTTGAATAGTTACGGGCAAATGTTGGTAGAGACAAGAGTACTGATGTCAAAAGTCGTTGTGTAACGTGTAAGGCAGTGGCGCGCAATCTTTTTTGTTCAAGATCCCCCCCAAAAAAAAAATTATTTTAATAATACGATAAACTACCCCTCTCCCTTCCTACTAACAATGTATAAGTGTATAATATATATTTACTTAATAGTCTTAATGTATACCAACATTTTATTCGTATAAATTAAATCGTTAATTTTAGGCAATATTAATAATGCTTTAATTTAATTAATCCAAAACATAAAAAATACAAAATACAAAATCATAATTTTATGAAATCTCAAATTAAAAATTCACTAAAATTATTTTAATGATAATCAACATTTTAATATTTTTAAAACTATAAAATTACAATTTAATTATTGCAATGAGAGACCTGAGTTTGCATTATAAACATGGTTGATTCATGATTCTATATTTCTGTTTGGTTTGATATTCGACACTGCTACTCTTAAATCGGCTTCAACATTTAATCTGGAGCGACATTTGTTTTTAATTATCGCTAGTGTTGAAAATTACTAAATAAATTCGATTTAAAAATAATCCATATACTGTGTGATTCAATAGAACTTGCTATTAAAACATTAAGATATTACGATTGACACAGCCATTGACGGTACAAAATAATTTTTCTTTGTATAAAATTATAAACAATGTTTACATAAAATATATAACTTTTTCATTTGATGTAAAATTATTGGAGATCTCTAGGTAGCGCACCACTAGTGTAAGTTGAGACAAAGAGGTTCTTTGTCTTTACATCTATATCTAAATTGGAAGAAATTACATTTGTATTATCTATAAAGGTAGCTGGACAAGTTTTGATATGGAGAATATCGGTAGAGTAAATGTTGTTTTTTTTAAAGGCAAGAATGCTGCCTTGCAATATTCCTACTTTTATGGTATAGACTCAGGATAGTTTTTCATCTTAATGTACTATAAATGTATGATGGAGAAGAAACGATTTGAAGAGAAAATAAAGTAGGGTAGGTAGAAATCAAATTTTGTGTGAAAGGCCTTCATGGATACGATCAAATGCTTAGGCGATATCTAAAAAACCATTTGTTTTTGTACTAGAGATTATAGGCTATTTTATCGAATATTTTATGAACTTAGTGGTAGAGTATTATTGTTATTTCTAAAACCAAATTGTGTATTTGCATTTTGGTAGGTAATATTTTTTTGTCGTGAATGATTGAGTAGATTCTTTAAGTTTCTATTATTTTTTCAAGAATTTTTGTAAAAATGGACAACAAACTTATTGGTTGAAATTAAGAGGTTATATCGAAGATTTACCAAGCTTTTGTATGAGTATTACAACGAAAAGTTCCCATGAAGCTCTGAGTCAGGATATAGGATAATCTGAGAATGGAGTTGAATAATTGTGTAAGAAACATTATAGCTCTTGTAGATTTATTTGTTTATTTAATAATTTGTAAAACACTTTTATAAATTAAAATTGTTTAATCTTTATTAACTCATAATGTTATACCAATTATAATATATTTTTGGTTGCATGCGCCATGCATAATTACTCTTAAAAACGAACTTCTAAACATATATCACTATAGCTGAGGTTCTTATCATTACAGCTTTTTTGAGTTGATCAGTTGATGTTTGAGTTTTGGTTATAAGATCTTGTCCAAGGTAGATTCTTAATTAAATATTGGATTTTAGAGGGGTTTGGTGTGTTTAATTTGTAAGTATATAAAGAGAGAATTAGTTAATGGTATTTCAATATAGTTTATAGGGCTTAGTAAGTTCCCTCACGAAAAAAAAAAATATAAAATAAATAATAATAGAAAAAATCACATTTTATTGATGAATTAGGAAAGTGACTGATTTATGTAATTGGTTTACCATTTCTTAATCCAATAGAATTTAAAGATTGTTTTATAGATAGTTTCATGACTGAAAAACTAGAAAATAATAAAATAAATGAATTTTGCGATTATTTAGTGACTAACTCATCGAAGATATCAATACGTTCCCTCCTAGTATTTGGGTTAGTGTTAGTTCTGAATGTTTTGATACAAACCTTACTACAAACGCTTACGAAAGTTTCAATTCTGAATTTAACTCAAATTTTTATTATCATTAACCTAATATATTCAAAATAATAGAAGTTTTAAAATGTTTCAAACAAATACATATATAAAGATTAAAAGATAAAAACATCAGATTTCAATAAACCTTAAAAAATAAGTAAAAAAGAAGAAGAAACACAAAATTATATCAGTAATAAAATATCAGATTATAACTTAAAAATAATTACACAGCATGACTATGTGAAGTGTTTGAGCTTTTGCAATAAGCCAAATAAAATTTGATTTTTTCTATTATTATTATTATTTTATACCTATACAAATAATACGTGAACCATACCTAAATATTATATTATTCATTTTTATTATATGTTATACGGACTGGATTCAATTAAAAATGTAATTGTACATTTGTTTTATGCAATACGAAAACAAAACAAATTTTAACCACACCAACTACGTTTAAGTTGTAAGTCCTAATAAAATGGGAAGGAAGTTTGTGTTCGGTATAATTTTTTTTTCGTGTGGAAACTTACGTACAGGTGTAATGTATTTTGTGTGGGAACTTGCGTATGCATACCCAGGGGTAATTTTTACCTACCATATCTCGTGCGGGAACTTATATTCGCCCGTTTATATGATCTATATCGATTTTTTCTGAGTTAATCATAAATCTACTTTTGAGGTCAAAAGCAAACAAATTTGCTTTGTCAAAGTCTGATATAGCAAGGGAATTGTTTGGAATGCGTAAAGGAAGTATATTTGTTTTTGTTACTTTCCATAATGAATTTATGAAAGAAAGTTGTTACTTAGTAAGTTAAAATATTGAATGTAGTAATTAATATTTATTTTTGGAATAGGTAAACAGTATGCTGATGAGCTGATTGGAATGGCGAATGGAATATAATTTATGAAGAAATGAAGATGAAATGCTAATGTAAAATATGTTATCGAATGATGAGTAAGAGTATTGAATTATTAGTTAATAATCAAAATATTATATTTAAACACTTTTTGACTATGTACCTAAGTGGACTAGGGCACTAGGCCTATAAAGGAACCATGTAAAAAAACGCGCCCAGCTTCTACTTCAATGGTGGTTGCATTCATATTATCGTTAAGCACCTACTCGTAACTTTCTTAATTGTGAATACTGTAAGTATGATTACATAAATACATAAATACATAAAAATCTATCTTGTAGATATGTTTTTCCACTAAAATTTTTAACCAAAACTTTTTTTTGTACAACCAGTTTAAAGTTTAAAGCAATATAGGTATTAACACAAAGGATATTTTTTTTTAGTGAAAAAATCAAATTTCTTTAAAAGTATGTACTTTGTAGACCTTATATATCAAAAACAATAAATCTTACGTGAAAATGCTATGATACTTTTTTGAAGAGATAATTACCTACCTTTTCGGTAATTTTTGTTTGAAACTTTTTATCGTACAACCAATAACAAGTGATATATTAAAAAAGGCCATTTTTGTGACCTTTGATCAATTTTATCTTGAATAACCTTTGACGGGCACATAGGTACCATTTCTAAGTCGACTTTTTACACATTGTTATTGATGATAATATATAGGTGTATGCCAAAATTCAGCTTGATGGGATTTTTTTCGCACAGAAGCTTAATTTTCGTCTAATTTGACTGGACTAATAAAAGTAAAATTAATTTTATTTAATGTTTATTTTAAAATTATAAAATTGTAATTAAATAATAATTTTATATGGTACCAGTATTATATAATTATAATATATTTGCTTGATCAAGATTAATAATGATTTTTTAATTTTTAATAAATTATCGATGAATCATGAGAACTTAAGGAGCCACAAGAACTATTACACCTTTAACCTTTTGCAATAGAAAACTTTTATAATTATATTTATTGTACGTTTATGAATTATGACTATGAGTAAACCAAACTATTAATTTTAAAATCACTGACCTAACCTACCCTAAACCATAGACATATTAATATGTCTATGCCCTAAACAATAGAAAGATAGTATATTATCATTTATCTTTGATAGCTATGATAATATTATTATCTTAGCTATCCGTGGATATTAGCTTAAGATAATATAATATATATTATTTATGATTATAGTTACGGCGATATCTACAGCCGTGATTATAGCACAGAATACATTATATTTATTCTGTAATTGTAGTAACATTCTGTGGTAGTAATAAAATTATTATCACAGAAGCAGAACTGATTTCAACTATTCTGTGTTATATAATCTAAAAAATTCTATATAAATCTTTACTGCACTAGTTCACTAATTATTGTATGATGTGCCATTTGTTTTTAATTTTAAATATAGTATTATTGTTTTAACTAAACTCGATCTATTTTATAAAATAGACAATTTGATAATTATGTTAACTGAAGTGGAAAATAATGACAATAATAAAAATCCGCCATCTTCAGCAGTTGAAGAAATTAAGTTTACTGAGAGAATGAGAAAGGCTACAAGAAAAGAACATCGAATTAGTGATGCCTTAATTAATGCAAAAATGACTATTGGTAATATATTTAATTTTTATTTGCTATATAATTAATTAAAATTTATGTTAGTGCAGTTATACCTATTATGTATTTATTTTAAAAGAAATAAATACATTTAACCAATTTAAAAATATTGTTTTTTATACCTAGTCTAATATTTTACTAAAATAAAATCTTTGATTTTCAAATGGGCAGGATATTATAAATTGATTTAAAATGTACATACACTACATTGTTGCTCCTTTAATGGATTCAACCAACATTATTTTCTAATGCTATTAAATATTTGAATTCACACATTAACGAGTCTCAAGTCTACACCTTTTTAAGGTTACTCATTCATTGCATAAAATAAGTTGACAAATTGATACTAAACACAAAACACTATATGGACAAATGTTAGGATTTTTATTGATTTAAGTATCAGAAATTGTGGATTATTTCAACTACAAAGATACATAAAGAGGGCGTTAAACTTGTAAAACACTACATTTTTATTTAGTATAATAGTTTTTACGCTGTCAATATTTAATATCTTCTAAATTACTTTTCTGTTATTTTTATTAAAAAAAAAGCTTTTGCTTTCAAATTCGAACCCTATTAATAATTAATGTGAATGTTAATTTCCTTTATAATATGTCATACAATAACTTACAATAACTGTCATTAACCTATCTTTAATAATTCTAAGGTTATATTTATTTAAAATATTTTTTAGAAATGAAGATAAAAACTATTTCATAAATAATTACAAAAATGATTATACATTTCAGGTATGACAGATAGCAAAGTATGGGTAGAAGGATTACGACGATTTTATGTTGTATACCAGTATCTAGAGATTGCAATGAAAAAAGAAGAAAATTATAATTTGCATAAATTTGGACAAATTAATGGTTTATTTCGTACACAACCATTTGAAAGCAGCTTAAAACATTATCTAGGAGATAAATGGCCATCTGGAATAACTAAAGCTATGGCTGAATATTCAAACTACTTAATAAGTTTAGAAAATGAAAATCATGTACTATTATCACCATTTATATATCATATGTACATGGGCATTTTATCTGGTGGTCAAATACTGATGGCTAAACAAAGAATGGCCTTCTCAGATGGAAAAGGATCTGAAGCATTTTACTTTGATATTAATGTAAGAGAAGCAAAGAATCAACTACGGAATGAAATGAACTCTTTAGCAGAAAAATTAGATGATGAAACAAAACTTAGATTATTAAAAGAAAGTAAAATGGTATATTTATTGAATAATAAATTAGTAAAAGAAGTTAAAGTTCCTACTGAAATTTTGTTAATCAAGTTAATATTTGTAATTGGGATTTTTATTTTAGTTATCTTATTATGGAAGGTATCAAAAAAGTTTCTTATGGTTTTGTTTTAGTTAAATAATAACTGGTATTAAATTGGTTTTAAGTTTAGTTTGATAAACCAATTTTAATTATATTAAATAATCCATAGTTATAGATCTTCTTGTATAGTCTGTTATTTTTTATATATATATGGTTTTTATTATACTTGGGTAATCAAATAAAAATAAACAATTAATTATTACATAACATTTATACATTATATTATTATGCAATACCTATAATATATTCAATTGTATTAATTTTATTATACATATTGTGTAAGTATATTATGAGTATTCTATTTATTTTACTACGAGTTAAAATTAGATTTTTGATATGAATCTTACATTAAACAAAATAAAAGTATTTTCATATTTAAATTATATAGGTACCAGCAACCAATATATACTTCTATATTATAATCTTAATAATTAATAGTATATACCAATATTACTGATCATTATTTTAATTCTTATTCTCCGGTTTAAGTAGCAGTGCAACTTTTTATGTATGTATTTTAAAATTAAATTTTGATTATATCTATGAATTTATATATATGTACATTTGTACTAAGTAATTGTGAATAGATTGTAAATATTTATAAAATAGCTTAATATAAAAATAATCTTTCTCTAGAAATATTGTTTATAATTTTTTTAATATGATCCTACATTTTGTTTGATATTTTTATTGTTCATATTATTCTATTATAATATTTATGTGTTATAAATTTAATAAAGAATTAGAATTCAAATGAATTAGTTAAAAAAACCCTATCTCAACAGCAAATCAGAATTAAATTTCCTAATTTCTTTGTTAAATAACTACTTTATTATATATATTAAACTTTAGGTATATATATAAGACAAACTAGATGGTTGTCAAAGATTTAAGTGTAATCATGTAAAATAATTAATAATATGGGTTAACAAAAAAAATATTAATTTTTTTAATTTAAAATTTGTACAATAAACACAAATAATGTTTAAAAGATTAAATAAAACAGCTAAATTATTAATTAATTAACCAACAAAAAAATGTTAAAAATAATTATCAATAAATTATTATTTAACAGAATGATACAGTTTAATCTTAGCTCTATAAAGTTAAATTTAATTGGCTGAATAGAAGAAGGTAACTTGCAGTAGTTATTAATATCTGAAAAAAAAAACAATCAATTAATAGTTTACATCAAAATATTGGTAAATGATAATATCTATGTGTGTACATTATATACAGTTTGTTCACAAATAGTAAATGGGGTTTTTGAGAATTTAAAACAATATCAAATTAAAAACGTTGAAAAAAATTTAAACCTATCAGAGTATGCACTATAAATTACTCTTTTTTTTATGAAAAGCAACACCAATTTTTTTCTGAATGCAAAATTAGAGTAAGTTGAAATTTACAAATATTAGTTATTTTTAGCCATATTTTAACTGCATATATTTTATAAACTGAATATTCTCAATATTTAAAGCTAAAAAAGGCATAAAAATACATTAATACTTTAAAATAAAAAATTTAAGAAAATTACTATGTAATGTATTATAGACTGTAGTTTTTATAAAATTAAGGCAAATTTTAAAAACTAAGAGTAAATAACAGATTAGTTTTATTATTTGTAAATTTTAACTTGCTCACTCATTTTTTAATTTTGAAATTAGAACATTTTTGAACATTCATTCTTTTAAAAAAATAGTCTCAACTCTAAATTAATAGAAAAAAGTATCATGTTTGTGTATAAAAGTAAAGAAAGGATTAAACTATTAATATTTTAATAAAATTTTTACTTTGATAATCAAAAAACTAACTCGGTATGATTATTCTGTTGTCATACAACTGAATTGTTGAAATATTTAATGGTAGTTAATATTTATTTATTTATATACTGTTAACACACTTAACACAACCTATTATTATCTAGTCTATAATATACTATTTATATATAACATAATATATAATTCACTGATATAACCATTATAACTAAATATGTAGATACATTTTAGCTAATAGTTTAAAAATTAAATTATTGCAAGGCGGAATCATCTTCTGGTAGACAAATTATTTGATATTTTCCCTTTTTATGAGAGCTGTAAGAAATTATAATAAAGTTTGTTACATACCTTTATGATTTTTGTTATGAAGAATTATTATAAAAAATAGGTATATTTAGAAATAGTAACTTTTTTTTTTTAAATTAATTATTTAAGTATTAACCTAACCAAGCTTACTTTTTAAATGTGGCAGAGTCAATAATTGCACAATACCAGTTATAAAACACCAATTTTGGTCCTATGAAGGGGGAGGGGTAGCTGATGATTAAAATAAATGTATATATATCATATTTTATAACATAATTTATAACCTAGTTTTGAAACTATAAATTAACATTACTCATTTAAGTTCTTCTAATATTATTTAATTTAGAAGTATTTGATTTTACTATTTTGATTACATTTAACTTACAGATAGAAGTGTTTCTAAATTTATTGGGAACATTTCTAAAGCATCCAAATCAAACTTCAATTTTTGTACTTGGTGATTAAATAAAAGTCTCTGAAGAAAAAAGAAATAAATTATCAATAGAACATATCTATTATCTGAAAAAAATTCACACCTGTTGCTTATATTTGTCTCCAGGCAATAAATTTGTATCCATTTCATTAACCATACTCTTAATAATATTTTCCTGAAAACTATTTAGTTTTATAAAATAATATAATATGATCACAAAAACTATTTATAACTAACATTTCGCTTAATCAGTTCACAGCAATAACATAGCAATGCAACTCTTTGAAATGTTGCAATACTTTCTACAAGTGCAATTACTGAAAAACTTGTAATACATGAATACAAGTTTATAGCAAACAAAATTCTTGATTCAATAATTATGGTTAATATATTTATACCATAAATTTTATTAACATTTACCATCATATCAAATATCTCCATATGTAACAATCTAGTATCTTCTAAGCAATTTGCAAAGTATTCTGGTAAAATAAGTTTTGTATCAATTTTGTTTTCCTGTATGTAAAAACAAATAAAAATAATATTCTAATATTGTTTATTCAATGTTATATTATGTACTTATAATACTAAGTTATAGTTAACTAGTTTATATCAGTAACTTAATAAACATGGTTAAAAACTATGAAAATAAAAATAGACTCCAAATTAAGTATCAATTCAACATTATCTGATTTAGTAATTATAGACATGTTTGAACTGTAAAATAAAAACAATATTTACTAATAGTTATCATAATTTGTATCACAAATACTAGAGGAAAAATTCAAAGTTCACTTTATAGATTTTTAAAAAATTATATGTTCCTTTTTTATTTTCAAATAAAAATCAACAATTGATAAATAAGTTAAGAACCAATAAAATACATGATTGATTTTAATCAACTTGTTTATATTCCAGCACAATTCAATTATATCTTGAGAATTGTTTTATAATATCTTATTCTATTAAAAATTAAACTCAATGTTTAACAAACAAATAATCTTAGATTAATATCGTTCTACCTTGATCATATGAAAAAAGTTGGATATCCTATGAATGACCATTTCAAGTGATGATTTCACCAGCAAAAGGATCACGTAAAATTGCATTTCAAACATGAAACAGAGGAAATCTTGAGCATGAAGCACTAGATTGATGGCAGGCTCTTGGGTCATCACTGAGTTGACAAAAAACACAACAAACCAAAACAAATGCATACCACTTATAATAAATATAGATGACATTTTTAAACATGCATTTTTGTTGTAGGACAAAACGTCTAAACATTTTACATAAGATAAACGTATGTTATGCCTGTTGTAAGTACAAGACAAAAAATACAACACCAAACTGAGAGTTGTCAAAATGGCTTTAATCGTTGTCAATAAATCTTCAATAAAATTGCTCTGAAAATAAACTTATTTATACACATGTAAACGTAAATGAACCGTGAGACAAAAAAAAAATAAAAAAATAATATAATAACTTACTTGTTTCAAACTCCAAAACAGTAAAATAAAACTAGAGGACAGTGAAAGAAGGCCTAGTATAAAAAAAAACTTGAACTCTATTAGAAAATTTAAATGCAATGATCGAGTATGTAGATCAATCAAAATCAACCATAATAACCGGAACATACTTAAAATTTAAATATTACAACAAAATTGAATAAACAAAGGCGCAACTTTTGAATTCAATTACATTCTTCCAATAAAGAAATAGAAAAATAAGTAAGCTTAAAAAATAGAATTTCTTTTTCTTTAAACAATTTAAACAATAAATAATACATGTATTTATATAATAAAAGAAAAATAAATTTTTATTAAAAGGATAAATAAAAATAAAATAAATTATTCACTTATATGAAAAACATAATTCTCTTGAATTTAAAAAAAATATTAAACAATATGAAGTATTGGATATACGATCATAAATAATAAATTTCTAATAGTACAATGACTGGAAAATAGGGTCACTTCAATTACTATGGCTGTTCCAAATACAAAAAAAAAAAAAAAATAAAAAAAAAATACCTAATAGTATAAGAATACAAATTATATATATTATATATGCATATTTTTAAAAGAATAAGGTTAAGAATAATTAATTTGTTACATAACACTGAAGACTATTCTTCAATAGTACATTATATCTATTGTGGTGATATGTAAAACAAATATAATTACTTTAATTATACTATTACATTAACAAAACAAAATTTAAGGGGTTTTTTTTAAATGTAACACTAGATTTATTATTCTGAATAATAAACTATTCATAATCAGCTCTTTAAAAATAAGTAAACCATAATCAAAACGTTGGTTAACTCTATAATTATGAGCACAATAAATAAGAAATTCTGCCATAAAATATTTAAAATATATTTTATATATGTGGAATTTAAAATGATACCATCAAATAAAGAACCAGTAAAACAGATGTATGTTCTATGTCATTATTTAAACAGTTTAATTTTTATTCACATTATATCAAAGATAAAAATTAATAAAATGCTAAAAGTACGTTTATTGAAATTAAAATATATCCTAAACAATTTTTTTTTTTTTAATTATATTATCAAAATATTAAACATATTAAATACTTAAACTCAAATTATAAATACATCATTTATTCATTTTTTACACTATAAAAAATGTATTATGAAGTTGATAAATTGCAAAACTTCCAATTATATGTTATCAAATAACATTTTATTTTACTAAACCAACACATAATATTATTTCAATATTATATTTTTAAGCAAATTTATTACATAGTTGCACTTAAAAATATTTTTAATTGATTTTGATATTAAATACACATTGCATTATTTTAATTTCAAGGATAGAATCATATACATCACATACCATCAAATGTATAAGATGAATAAAATATATGCAATATCAAAGTGAGACATGTAAATAAGGTGTAAAACACACAGGTTGAGGAAAACAAATTCAAAATATAAAAATAACAAACCAATTAAAATGTCATAAATCTGATCTTGTTATTTATTCTCACACACCACTAAGAATACAAACTATGAAAAAAAAAGACAATTTTACAAACTAATTCAATTTAATTCTGAATTCTTGAAATTGGAAAAAGAAGATATTGACTCACAGAATTGTAAAATCAAAAAATATAAAAATAGACCAAGAATAAAATGTCTTATAATCTCCAAGAAAGTTATTTTTTAAATAGTACTGATGTCTAAAACACAAACACACACAGTCATTAGCCTATTGGAAAAATATTTTAAGCCTACAATTTCAGTATCTGACAAAAAAAATACAATAATTATGTTACAATAAATATTGAATTAAATTAGCCTACATACATTAATTATTACACTAGTATGTTTTTTAAATATATGTATTAATTTTGAGTTATAATAATGGTTACTTACACTTGTAGTTAGAAATATACTACTTCAATAAGATGACCATCAAATCTTGATAAATTTTTTAAAGCTAAAAATTTTATAGTTAAGGAAATTGAATTGTTCATTATTCTTTAAACAGTAAACAGTTGTGTTATGCTACTAATGCTAAAATTGCATCATTAATTTTCATTAAATAATTGAACATATCTGTATTAAACACCTATTTATATTTTTCGCATTAAGTACAAATAAATTCACTGTATCAGAAGTGTATGTTTCATATTATGATAAAAATTATAAATGAATAATAACTGATTTCTAAGACTTTAACCCATAAATTATTAGTATAATCTATAAAATTAAAAAAATATTTGTCATTTAGTTATAGTAAAAAATACTGTAGAACTTTATATATCTAAAAATAAAAATACCAGCATATTTTCATATTTTATGCTTTTGCATTAATATTGTTTTAAAAACTTAAAATTCAAATAAAAAGGATACTTATTGCTCTTTCAGCATCCCACTCTGATGCAAATCGAATAATTCCAAATCCTTTACTTCCAACCTCAGAAAATTTAATGTCTCCACAGTCACGGAAGTAATCTTTTAAACTTTGCCATGTTGTATTTGATGGTAAATTTTTTACCATGATCGTATCAGATTTTTTTGGACCCATACCCATATGCATATCACCTCCACCTACAACGATATTCATACAATTAATTAATAATGGAATGTTCGGTTTTATTTAAGAATATTAATTAAATTAAGATTTGTATATGAATATAAAAAATAAAAAATTACCCAATCCGGATCTAAAGTCTGCAGCAAAAGCACCACCACCGCTACTTGAATTTCGTACACCAAGTGATAAAGAATCAAAATCACGACCACCAAGGGAGTCTAAAATAATAAATTAATTATAAATAATTAAACATCATAAATATAGAAAAAAAAGGGGGAGGTAAATTAGAGTTACTGCTATCACTTGTATAGTAGGTTTAAAGTAAACCTAGTCTTTAAAAAAGTTATGATGATGTACATTTTAAATTTGAATTCATTGATATTTGAGCAGACAATTAATCGGTTTACATTAACAACTATATTTTGATATACACACACACACACATATATATATATTGATATTATAGTAATTTATATTACTATAAATAATACATTAGATTAAATAATTTTTATCGAAAATATTGCATTTGAAAATTTCAATATATAATAATAAACATTATAAATTTCTAATACTCCTATTATGTTTATGAATAGAAATTCATTCTATGAATTTTATTCAAATTCTAATTTAAGAAAATTGTGTTTAATTTTAAAGATTTTTTTTGTATAGTATTAACCACTTTAATGACAATGTATTAAATTATCAATCCTTAAATATAAAAATTGAACTTAGTATAAATTTTTAACTATAAAGTAATTTAAAATTTTTTACAAAATAACAACATTAAATACTTAAAAAACAATTGTGCTAACATGTAAATCAATTTTTATATCATATTTTAAAGAAAAACTAAAATAAATAATATAAATTACAAATATTAAAAAAATTCACTGATTTTTGCAATTTAGTGAAATTTTGGTTAAGGGGTGTTTTTTAAATTACTTAGGTTAATTTACTTTTGACACATCAAAACATCAACTAAATTCAATTAGCTAATATAGACTATCCTAAAGGTTAAGAAATTAAAAAATATTTACTACCTCAAAGAGACAAAAAACGATAGATAGAATAAAACATTGTAATATCAATCAATACATTCATCACTCCATTCAAAATCTAAAATCATTGTAATTGTAATGTTACATTTTACTGTTACTAATGAAATCGAGGTCAATAACATATCAAGATCAACAAATTTGAATGACTGTTTCTACCAAAATAACACAAAAATAAATCTTAAAATTAATGTTTACTCCCTAATGATTAAATAAATTCCAGGCTGGTAAACACTTATAAATATCAATAAAATAAAATGTTAATACATTTTTAAAAAGTGACATTTATGGTAAACTACTAGACATTTTAAATTAACTTAAACTAATTTTGTACTTTTAAATATTTATAATATATTATACATATATATGTATATATCAGGGGTGGCGAACTTATGGCACGCGTATCAAAGGTGGCACATCGGTCAAATTTCAATGGCATGTGAGAAATTATAATTTAAAAGAATTATACTATTTATAACATGATGTTTATAAGAAATTCAAAGAAACAAATTATGTTTAAAAATTATAATATTCCTTGTAAAAAATATATTATTACTATATTAATTATGTAACTTTATTTTTAACCCTAGAAAATATAATTTTTTTAGGCACGTGAAAAATTGTCAAAACCTTGTTTGAAAAATTTGACACTTGACCCAAAAAAGAGGTTCGCCACATCTGGTATATATATGATAAAAATAAATTACTTTGATGTAGTGAAGAACTATTCATTGATCCAGCTCCACTGGTATTCATACCAGATCCAAAAGCAGCCCCTAGACTTGTTCCAATGCCCAAATCACTAGCACTTAAATTTCCCAGTCCGTTAACTCCACCAACTTCATAAAACCGAAATACATTTAAAATCTATAAATTAAAATTTCTTAAATTACTTACGAGAACGTCGATTTTGAGTCTCAATGCCTAATCTATCAGCACTCAATCCACTTAATACAGCTAAAGCTGATGTATTAACAGGTGTAGATAATGACTGAGATTGGTTAGGTGAAGTGTTATTTGATGGGAGATTTCCTATACAAATAAATAATAGAATTAGTTACAAAAATTTAGTTTGAAATTTATTAAAATTATACTTGAAACAGTTAAACTGAATGAATAATAAATTTTTTATCATACATTTAATATTAATTAATTAGTTAGATCTTAAGAATATGAAATTTCATTTTTCAAAAAAAAATTGATTTTCTAAATTGAAATTGTTTTATTTATTTCAGTGACGCGTTTTAAAATTTCAACAAGAAATATATCATATACATCAAAAGGAAAAATAACTGTACTTAAATCAGAATAAGATGACCAGGGGACAGATATAATTAAGTCGATTTTTGTGTGCAGCTGATATATGATTGTTCTATACACTATTTGCAACATTTAAGCATACTTAAAAAAGTTGTTATGATCACATCCATTGTGTGTAACTGGTCATTTTCTTATTCCAGTAACCCAGTACAGGTATGTATAAAATTTAAAAAAAAAATTAATTATAATCAAATGAATAAATTGTTTTTTATGTTACTAGATAAAAATAATCTAATCCTACAGTATATTTTAATAGATAAAATTGCGTTAATGTATATACTTCTATAATGAAATAATATTCACTTACATTTGGGTAAAGATCTAATATTTATATTTTGATTGACAACAATTCTTTTAATATAGTATAATATAATATTCATTATTTTACCACACACTACCATTGAATTATAAAATTTTAAGAAAAAGTTAATTTAACTTTTACAGATTCTTTAACTAAAAATAATTATTTCTTATATTTAGATTTATCAAAACATACTTTCAACATCATGCAATGGAGCTCCACCTGCACCTAAACCCATTCCTATTGATTTCAAGCCTTCAGGAAGTCTTGCTAATGGGTCTTTATCCGTACGATCAAGACGTATAGACATTGGGCGTTCAAATAAAAACTGATTGTTGAACATAGCTATTGGTAGTTGTTAAGAAATATTAAGACATAATTAGTTATTAAATATAGAAAGTTTAAATACAAAAACTATCAAAGGATACAAATAGCTTGAACTGCTTCTACTGGATGATTATATTCAACTACTCCATATCCTTTACTTTTTCCTTCTTTATCTGAAAATATTTCAACTTCTAATACACGTCCAGCAAGTTTAAATACCTCTTTTAATTTTTTTTCATCAACTTTGTAGTCAAGCTAAATAAAATTTAAAACATCAAATTAAACATCAAAAGTATTTTTAAGAATTTTTTAATTTACATTAGCAACAAAAATGCGATTGATGAGTGGCCCACGAATATTAAGTGATTCAAGAAATTGAGGTGAAAGTCCATATGTATTATCCCATTGGAAATCATCTGATACAGGCATTCTACTAGCGCTTCTGATACTGGTTGGGATATTACCACCAACACCACCACCGCCGACACCACCACCACCACCACCACTACCAACACCACCACTATTACGAGGTCCATTTGGTATTGGACGTCCACTCTTATCTCTTTCAATATCATCCTATAAAAAATTAAAACGTACAATTAATTTGATATTATAGTATAATTTATTATAATAAATACCTCCTTAACTACTAATTTTCTTCCATTTATATCAAAACGATGCATCTTGTCAATCGCTCTTTGAGCTGAATCTGCTCTGTCAAACTCAACCGTACCACAGCCTCTAGATTTGTCTTTTTCATCTGAATATACAACTACAAAAGACACGTCGCCAACTAAAACAAAAAAACCAATAAATCTTACTGTACATAATCAATTGAATTTGATTAACGATTTTATCTATATTAGGCCTTATTCTTGGCGCCAAAGAGTAATTTATCATATTTTAAGTGAATTTAAGAATAACAAATTTTGTTTCAGAGGCTTTTTTATAAATATCTTATAATTTTAAAATTTGTATGATGTTAACTGTAGTTATGCTACATTATAATTAGTAGAGGATTTAACATAGTAAACATGTGCAAATTTGATCTTGGATAGATAAGCTTTAAAATGAGCTCTTAATACTTTTTTTTTGCATAATATTGCATAATATACAATACAAAATTATTTTTTCAAATTCTAAAAAGAATATGTGCATCAACAAGGATAATAATTAATAACTATACCTCAAATATGTATTTACATATTGAGTTTATACACATTTATTTAATTATAATGTATACATCATTATTATTTTGAGTTTAAATAAAACAATTACAGAAAACTTAAAGGAATAAGTTTACAACTAAATGTAGAAAAATGTTTTTATCATTTATGCATAAATATTTCTTGTTTTCTCTTTCATTATGAATTCTTAAATATATATAAAAGAACAGGCATTTTTTTGTTCCAATTTTGTGATAACACTATTAAATATTTTTTCAATTTTTTTTACAAAGTTGTTTAAAATATATTCCCAAGTGTCATCACGTCGCTTGATTTTTAATTTTTTTTTTTTCTGAAGGAAGAGAGAAGGGGAATTTTATGTTAATCCTTATTTATATAAAACAAACTGGCCTTTTTTATTCCTGTTTTGTAACAACACTATTTAACATTTTTACAATTTTTTTCTCAAGATTGTACTAAATACTCCAATGAATAATCTATAATTCTCAATTTAATTTAAATTGTCATTACAGTCATTTTGAGAAAATACAAACTACAAACAAAGTCAGATATTTCCACTAGTATTTTATAAAAACAAAGTAATACGATAAAAATGTTGACTGTGAATTTTATAAATAGGTAAGCACCTAATTAATTTGTAATCCATTATAATATAATTTAATATAAAAATATAAAATATTTATGGTAATTTAACTGAAAATATATAAATAAAAACATAAATGATGCCCAAAAATAAATTATTTTATTTGACCATTTTTAATGTTTTGGAACTGGATCTTATTTCATAAATCCACCACAGCAGTCATAATCCCAAATTCAGGAAATTATTTATAATATTATGATTTAATTCTAAATTAAAATAATTAACTTAGTTTGTATTATTTTGTTATAATATTCATAACTACCTTCTTTTTTGAACAATTCTTTTAGCTCCTTCCATTTAAATTCATATGGTATGTTTGACACAAATACTTTTTTACATCCACTTTTCCGAGATCTAAGCGGACTGCGACTCCTGTCACGGTTTCTATCGCCCAATCTCATTTTTACTGAAATAATTTACCTAATTAAAATAAAAGCATTAATATTTATACCAATTTTTGATTCAACTGCACGCAATACTCTTATGCTAGATTAAAACATTGTATAAACTTAATCCAACACAAAAGTATAAATTACACAAAATCCGAAATATTTACAAATGACTAACCAATATACTGTGAAGTATTCAAAATTAACAAACACAATAAATGTATTAATTAGTTAAGTAAATGTATCCACCCAAATAGAGAAAACGCAAACTATAAGATAATACTTACAAAGTTAGTACATAAATTAAACGAAAACAAATATCAAATGAAAAACACTAAACTTGTACGAAACAGAGTGAACAGATAGTAAATAGTATTATAGTAATAACATAATGGTTAATGGTTATAAATGTTAAATGTTATTGTGTTAGTGTTCTACGGCAACACCGCAGTAATAAACTAAGCGTCACTTAAAATTTTAGGTAAGGTATAAAATGGTTATTACTACTACCATGGTATGTAAGAGCGGGAATAATTTAAAATTTTAAAATTAATTACATACCTTTAAATAACCTAAAATAATATGTATTAATAGTCACAAAAAAAGAAGTCCAGAAAAAAAATTAAATAAAACCTGAAGACAACTGGTTTATATATACAAATAATTGGAGTAAAAATTTGGAGTAGGAAAATTTCGTCCAAAAAAATAAATTAAGTTGGATTAAATGAAATATACGTAAATTTCAGCCTGAATGTTTTTGGAACATACGTACATTTTACTTATGGATATTCAGTTTATTTCACTCAACAAAACAATTAAAAATTTTCATAAATTTTTTGCAAAATGCTACTCATATGCTATATGCAAGACAAATGACTAACCATTATTTCTTATGAATCATTCTATTCACTTTTTAACCAGTTTTTATAAAAAATCGCCATCTATCAATATTTAGGAAACCATTTTAATTAATGAAGTATATATTAAACTTAGAAGCAACCACCAACCAAACGAGACACACAATAGTCGAATTTAAAACAGACAAAATAGAAACTAACAATTTAAACAATTTATAAGTGAATGTAAAAATGGAGATCCTGATAAGTATAGAGACTGTGACTTAATAACTGTTTTAACTCAAATATTTTGCCAATATTTGTATTTGCATTATTTTATTTTTTTAATTTTCAAATATGACTTTGTTAACAAAGCAATTAAAATAAACATAATTTATTTATTTATTCAATCATTAACTCATTTGAAACCCAGTAATATAGCCAAATTGGCATGTAAATACATTAAATATACAAACATATGCAGTAACAATAAAACATCATAACCCTGCTTTTGATAGTCAGAAAATAAATCATAGTACTCAGTTCTAACCGAACCGTTCGAACCACACACATAATTTCATTACAAGTAAAAATGTTTACCGCCTAACGAAGTGGGCACAGGTCAGCAGGTCAGCTAGTAATTACTAAAAAAATAATATTATAAAATATTCTATATTAATTTAATTTGTAAGTATTCTTAAATGTGTTCTTATTAACATATATGTGTAATCAATAAATATTTATTTTGACAATCATTACCAATTGGCAATTATCAATAACTTTATATTTTTTATAATAAGGTGTTATTAAAATATAAAAATTGAAATTTTTATGATGGAAAACTGAAATTTATATTTTTATACTGGCAATAAACGGAAAGGTCAATTTTTACGGAAAAGTGAAGCACTTGAAAGGAGTAAAGAACATTGCAGTTACTATAGAGATAAAATGTATCAAGGTCTTAAGGAGTCGACCAATGGGCAATGATGTTATTTTGAAGATAATTTCAGCGTTTATATCCCATAGTACCAGATTGAGGTGCTCGAGATCCGCAGACAATACGCTCGTGTTTTGGTCATCCTCGATGTCTTCCAGAAGCCAGAAATACTAATTTAAGGTACATTATGACCATAATGTAGATGCAAAAACTGAGATGCGGTATATGCATTGACACTATTTGTTGCTCATCCATCTCTTATTCTACTACTATAAATTCTTTGTTACAAAAATTACTTGTTAATATTACTATACATTAAATGTGTACAAACTAATATAGATTGTAATTATTTATTTTTAATAAAAATAAATATGTATTTAACAATATATAATATAATATATATATATGTATAATGTACTAAATACTAATCCATGTTTATTATACATATAACGTAGAAATTATTTTATATTTTCTTACCTATTTAGTGTTTGTATTTTTTAAGTAATTCGTGTACGGCATACGTGCATACGCATTCAAGTAATCGCTTACTAAGTACTGACTATACGTAATTCAGTAATTGTAATTTTCACTGATTCAATCTTTTTATCACTTGCTATTTCTGGGACAAGTTTATATATAACATCTATTCTTTAAATTTTAAACTAGTATTAAATATAAAGTCAATATTATGCCTCAGTTTTATTATTTTGTCATTAGTCATTATCATTATTTATTAAGTGTACGAATATTATCAGAATTTTCATTGGACGTGAATGAGTGAACCTTTATAGTTGTTTTTATCAAATTATAGGTCTTCAAATGGAATTCCCAAATTTTATAAAAAAAAATTGTTGTCTTATGGTATTTGTTTATTTTGTAGGTATTATTACATCATGGCAGCAGCTGCAAACTTTACAATTCTAGATAGTCCTACAGTAACAGTACTACATAGTGCAGTGAATAATGAATAGTCATGACTGCTCAGTAGTTGGCGAACCTTTTTTTCACATGGTTTTATATAATGAATAATGAATTAACAATCATGATTAAATTTATTATGAATTATGATTTATGAACAATAATAATAATATTAACCGTTAATTGTTAACTATAAGGTATTTAATATTTATTACATATTTTTATATCTCATAGTATTTAATTTAAAAACCTTTTATCGCAGAATTTCTGTTTTATTTTCATCAAAAATTAATCATATAACAACGTAAAAGTAAGTTTACCTATTTACTTAAGTATTTAACTAACGATTAACTTCCGTGTTAGAAACTCAATTCAAAGTTCAATCTTTTTTTTTTAGTATAATGTATTATATAATTATGCTTATTATAGCACCAATTTTAAAATATTTACAGAAAATTATCTAAATAAATAATGTTTATCTTGTAACTTTAGTTTCAATGTAATTTTTATTATAAAATATATCTGTAGGATTCGCCATCTTAAATGCAATTGAAATGAAGATTTGTCAAAAAATGTGTTTTAAAATTAATTAATCAGCATCTATAGACTATTTACTTTTTAAATTCTTGTTAAACTTTTATATTTATACTTGATAGTTACAGATTTATTTATTTTTTTTGTAGAATCTAAAAAGAAATTTTATTGGTGGTATATGCTATATGTTTAGTATAAATTTATATAAATTAATTGCTATGAATATAATATAGATATTAATTGTAAAATTTTAATTATTTCCAGTCAAAAAGTATGAGTAGGGAAGGATATAAAAAAAATTTATATATTTTTTGGTAGAGGGGGTGTTTAAAATTGTATATTTTTATGCTTATGTAAGAAAAAATTCATTGACAGAAATCACTTTTACTCCATAAAAACATACTTATTAATTAATCTAAAATTATTTTTGAGAGAATTTGAACCACTTAAAACTAACCCCCTTTTTTGTACACGTCTGGGTGTAGGCTAACATATTAGATATAGAAGTTGTGAATTTAACAAAACTTCCATGAGTAGGAAAATGTATTACTGTGGCACAAAATAAAATAATTTCATCCTCTTGTCTAAGTTATACCCAATAGTATTTTAAATTCTTTTTTTGTTATATTATAATATTTATCAAGTGTCAAGGGCCTCATTGTCTGTCATTATATCTTTTACATATTAAAAATGTACTTAATCAGTTAGGTATTTGTTTAATATTTCTATGAAAATCTAATAATATACAATTAAGTGTACTATATATTTTTTTTCAACACCTTTAAAAGAAGAATTACCTACACTTAATTATTTTGATTTAAATTAAAACCAAAAGAAAATTTTAATTCTACTTTTTTTTAGTAGATTTATTATATTATAACACATAAGTATATCATTATGAAACAAAATCATGTATAAACTTTTGTATAAGTTGTTTAACTATGTATTTTTAATACCAATTATATTTTAGGTAATTATGATGCCCGTATTCAAGTATGAATGTTTTGAAGATCCATTACCTAATTCCAACAGCAAGAAAAATAAGTTCAAAAACTTTAAACTTTCCCAAAATTGCTTTAACGAAAAAAGATTACCTGTATTTGATTCAATGTTTCAAATTAGTTACAACAAAAACATTTGCACTACAAGTACTGTAGAAAATTTTATGTCATTATATAATAAATTAAATAAATTACAAAAAGATTACACACCCTTGCACTTAGCTATCGAAATGGGTAATTTTCACTTGATTCAATTTTTATTAAGACTTCCTACCATCAATGTGAACTCTTTTACGGGTACTGGGTTTACAGGTCTACATTTAGCTATTAAGTCTGAAAATGTAACTGTTGTTAAATATTTATGTGAGAATTCTGATATTGATTTAGAAGCAACATCAAGTTGTGTTGGTACACCACTGATTTATGCAACATCAATTTCAACTCCAATAATTTTGAAAACATTAATTGATTATGGTGCTGATGTAAATAAGACTTTTACAGTAGATTGCTTGAATTCTTTAATGTTGGCCATACAAAATCATAAAAACGAACACAGTTGGATATTAGCTGAAAGTGGTATTTGCCCTTTACACACAAATGTAAAAAAATGGAATGCTTTACATTATGCTGCATTATTTAAAGCTCCAACTGATTTACTGCGAAAGCTGATAGAAATAGGTTGTGATCAAAATGGTATTACAAGAGAGGGTAACACACCTTTACATCATGCAGTTATTTCTGGAAGTATTGATTCTGTTCAAATATTTGTTGAAATGAAAGCAGATATTCATAAAACTGATGAAAATGGCCTAACTGCTTTACATTATGCTGCATATCAAGGGCATTGGGAAATTGTAAAAATATTATTAGCTGCTGGTTCTAGACCAAATAAGAAAACGAACATCAAAGTTACACCTTTACATTTTGCAGCTAAACATGATCGTTTTTTAGTGGTAGAAGAACTGTTAAAGTGCTATGTTGATGTTAATGCTGTTACTATGCAATGTAATACACCATTACATTATGCAGCTTGTAATGGAAATGAAAAAATGGTTGAAACTTTATTGAAACATGGAGCTGATCCAAATATTCCAAACAAAGACAATGATTTACCTATACATCTTGCTTGTTTACGTGGTGCTATAGATGCTGTAAAGTTATTATGCTTGTATAAATCAAATATGGATTGGCGAAATAAAAACAATATGTCACCATTACATAATGCTGTCTTAAGTACTAATGAAGAGTTGATAACATTTTTATTGAATAAATATAAATTTAGTATTGATGCCGATTTGTTTAACATGGCTCTACGCTTTGGAAATATACATATAATTAAAATGATGATTGATAGAAGTAATGAAACAATGTTAAAGAATGAAGTATTTTGGTTTAAAATAATTGGTTTTTGTAGATCTTTAGAAATAATTAAGTTATTTGTTAAACGAGCTCAACCACCTGTTTCAGTTATATCAAATCTAGTAGGATATGCTACACAATTAGGTCATTGTGACATTGCACGGTTCTTACTGGAATATGTTAGAACTTGGGATGATTTTATTGATGAAGAAGGAAATACAGTATTATACTATGCAATATTTAAAAATGATATAGAATTGGTTCGCTTACTGATAGAAAAAGGTTCAAATGTAAATCACATAAATGATGCTGGTATTACATTATTACAATCTGCGTCAAAAAATGGTAATACAGAAATTATGAAGTTGTTATTGAAGAATTGGACTACATGTTACACTTTAAATAACAAAACTAACTTATAAAATTTTACCATCTTCTTCACATATAACATATTGATTATTTGGACTCAAAAAAGTAATATTTTATTTTAAAATTATATTCCTTAAGTTATTTTATATTTTAACTATTTTTAGACTAGAAACTAACAATTTTATGAATAAGTAATTCATTTTAATGAGATATTTTTTAAATAACATTAAATAATACTATTTATTTGTAACTCAATTAATGTTTATTTGATGAAATTTTTGTGTTTATTATTTATTTAAATTTTTTTTTTTTACACTTGATTGTCTCATCATAGAGTATTATTTCAATATTAATTATTTTATATGAACATATTTTTAACATTCAAATAATTGAAATTGTAAAAGAATTATTTTTTAATTGAAAATGTATTATTAATTATAGTAACTTATTTAAGTATTAATTATTTGTATCACAGAACACTAGTACCTTATTTAAATGAAATGGTTAAACAATTTTGTTTTTAATTCACTAAAATGTTGACTTACTGATTTATTTAATTTTTTTATTTGTTTTGTATTTATATCTAAAAATTCTAATTTTTCCTCAGTATAAAATATTTCAGTTCAATTATACATTTTTATATAAAAAGGATTTTCATGTTAAGCTATTTTTTATTTACAGTTAAATGTTTTTTATGCTATGTGGCCTAAGAATAAAATAAGTATTCAAGAATCAAGAGTAAACAATATATTTGTATTTGTGTTAATTCATTTTTATGATTTATGTTTTTTTGGTTTATTTTATTTTCAAGTTGAAGAAATTGATTTTTGGTTACATAGTATAACACTATGCCTATAATTTGATTTTAAATCCATAAGCATTGGCACTTTATAAGTTTATAATATCTTTACAATAAACTTACATTTTAAATTATATACAGCTAAAGTATGAAAAAAATGTTTTAATTTTATATATGACACAAATAACCCAATTAATTTATAATCTGTACAAATGACTTAATTAAGAGAACTACTTCCATACTTCTCAATTTGCCTTAAATTATAATAACTTATTAATTATTATATTATCACAAATACAAAATATTTTTCTAAAACTATAATTGAATAACATGTTACTTGAGATTTAATGTTTTGCTATAATAAAATTTATTAATATCTATACAAATACATGTGACATTTAAACTTTTTTTTTTGTTATTACATTTTTAATATTTAGAAATAAAAATTAACAACTATTATACAACATTTTATTTTAATTGCTAAAACTTGAGCACTTAGCATTTAGCTAATCAATGACTTTGTGTGGTTTCAGAATTTTGGGGGTCAACTTAAGAAATTCAAATGAGAACCTACATTTTTTTTTTAATCACAATGTAATGAGTTTTTGTTGAAGTATTTTGATGTTTAAAAATTAAAATTTGAGCAAACAGTATATAAGTTACTAGTATGTTAAGTTTAGGTGAACGAAGTAGACCAACATTTTGTGGATATCCCCATACTACTTCACTCGTTCACTCCACTTTTGCAAAACTTATTAAACTGATATTGTAAAAAAACTATCAAAATGATAAATTAATTTAGATATTAATTGTAAATAAAAACTTTCGTTTTTAACATTTTTCTATATTATGAATATTAAATATTAATATGATAAAATGACCAATATAAATTTGGAACTGTTCTAAATATTTATATATATACCATTTATTATAAAATACAATAATAATATCTCATGATTACTCTATTAGAACATACAATAATTTATAAATTATAAGCATTAATTATTATTGTATTTATTGATAAAATGTATCGTGGTCAAAACAGTAGTTCAAGTATTAAACCGTATTTTTTCTTTATTAAAGAAATATTCTTTTGTACACAACAAATAAAGATATATTTCTTTGAAAATATTAAAAAAAACGGATACTCTCCTGCAGTCCTCCCCTTGTAAATACACTACTTTCCAGTTTAGTGTTTACATCATAGGCGTGACTACGGGGGCAGCAGGGGCAGCTTGTGCTGCCGCTGTAATATCTAAAAAGGTCGATGATTTGCACTTAATTTATGAAATGAAAAATATTATAATATTATTTCAATTAGATATTTTATATTGTTTTTCCTTTGCTAAAAATGCAATATTTGTATATAACTATAACATATTAACATATTATTCTAATATAAAAAGAATCGTAAACTGTAATCAGTTCATATTATATTGTTTAAATCAATGACCCAGTGGGCCGGATGGGACTGCTTGCGCATTACTTCTTTCGAGGAATTACAGGTTTGGAGCGTATAGATATAAAAATAAGACTAATCGTAATGTGTGTAAAAATAAAATTATTAGAATGCATTAATAGAGGTATATTGAAAATTCCTATGTATAATATTTTCGATAGAATTAACAAACACTACAGGACACAGATATAATATTTTATGTCCGCGACAAACACTGAAACCACGCATCGCACACACGTATAATATTAATTCATGCTCATACATAATAATATTATTTAGTATTTCTGTTATTTATTTCGCTGAGTAGTATTAATGTAATTTAAATTTTAAAGTTATAAATTTATTGTAATCATTATACTCGTATAGCCGTATCATGGATGTTTTTAAAAATAATAAAAAACAATTGGGAGGAGCTGCTAAAGATTGAAATAAAAAAAAAAATTAAATTAATAGAGGCAGCTAAATTGGCTATTATAAAAAATAAATTAAGAAGCACTATGGGACAAGAGCGACTTAACGCATTGCTATTTTTATTCATTGAGCAAAAATTAGTATCTGACATATAGATGACATTATTGATGAATTTAAAACTTTTTCACAAAAAAGAAGACTTGCTCTTTAATAATAATATATATGTTATATGTATATATGCATATTGTATAAATATATTCCTTGTAAATTTTTAATGTCCTGCACTCCTGCGTTATATTAATAATATAATAAATGGCTTAGTTTTATAAAATAATTTTCTAATAATTATTATATATGTATAAATATGTACAATAATATTATATTATAATTATTATATTAATAACACTTATCCCAAATAATTTTATGATCAAGAGTCTAGACCATTTAATTATTATGATTGTTAAGGAAAATTTGAATATAAAAAAAAAAATTTGGGCCGTTTAGTTAATATGCTGCCTCTGTAAATGAAGTCTAGTCACGCCTATGGTTTACATAATATTATATTCTACAGTTAATATTGAAAAAGATTCGGTACTCTATTTATAATCATCGGTAGAATAGCTGTAACATGGTAAATATCCTAGACTGTCTCGTGGTTGACCGGGTTTCGATTCGCCGCTGAGAAGCCAACTTAATGCGAACTGTGATGACTTCGGTCGTTATCGTCATTCTCCAAAATTGGTGTTGTGTGAGAGATGAGAATAAAACACATACACCAAATGAAAAATTGATAGTATAATACATATTACATGTTAAATTTTATGAGATCGAATTATTGGCATTATAATTACACACTGTCGCTCCTCGCTCGCTCACAATGGTTATTGGTTGGTCGTCACGGCAATCGGAGGACGTCACGAAGGTTAGAACCTTAAAACATGGTTTTTGCCGCCGGTAGTACGTACACGTATAAGTATAGCCGGCTGGGTCCCGACTCCCGAGTCCCACCCCTCCCGTGAACGGATAATGTGAGAGAGTTAAACAAGTCTTGCTGTTGTTGACGTTTGTCCCAAAACGGTAGTTCACGGGGAATGGCAACGGTGGTTTGCTGTACTTACTACTTATATGGACAAATATAATATAGTCATAGTGTACTGCTTTGTACTTGCGATTGCTACCTACGGACCGTGCGTCTACGTCACTTTTAGTATGATTGGCGAAGAACTCAGTGTCCCAACTCCCAATATAGGTAGTAGCCATTAGGTACTTATTAACTACCAACCTATTATTTAGTTTCATATGAAGCTTAAAAAATAATACCAACAATGCGTAATAGACTTGGTCGTATTCTTTAATTTGCTAAATTAATATGTTTGCATGTATAAGCATAATAGGTAATATTAAGTAATACTTTCAAATATATAATTTTATGAAAATCACCCATCATTTTTGTGTTCATGACTTCCCTAGCCCCTTAGACATCAAAATCTTAGGTAATGCCATCATGGTGTTTAAATTATAATAGTTAAACGTTCAGTTCAAGTATGCCAGTCTAAAATCTAGACTTCATAAAATTGTCATTATTCATTATTCAAATATTTCAAATGATAACGAATAATGAAAATTGAAAATTAACATACACGAGACACATCCAAATTTTCGTTTTAACTATAAAAATATAAAATATTAAATAACGAACTGGGAACAGTGGGAACTACGAAGTATGAAAATCACAGTTACATCACACATCTCTTCCTTAACATAGAACAATATACATTATGCTCAATAAAAAGTAAATATTTATTACATATATGGATATACTGTTTGATGTATACGTGTTATCATTATAATAACTGACTAATGTCACTGTTATTTTTATAAAAATTCCATAGAATATTAAGCGATGAATCATGATTAACTTACTAATTTACAAATGACAAATACTTAATACTCATTTATAGTTAGAGAATTCCTTTTTGTTATTCATCACTATTATTGACATTATTAATTTTAATTCAAATAATACGATCAAACAAATTACACCATGAGCAAAACGGTAAGAATTATAATATCTTCAACAATAATAAAATATGACTACAAAACTAATATATATAATATTATATTATATGTGTATATCAATTTATAAATATATATATTTTTTAGTTTAATTAATTGATTAATTTGATTTTTATTCATTTACCAACAGGCGTCTTATTCGGATGAACATTTGTCTGGTAAGTAAACTGTATATTAATGAATCATAAATGTAGTACAACTAAGGTATTGACTACAATCTCATTACCTTATTTGGATCTAATGTGAAACCCGTTCTAATAACTAAAAGAAATTTGTGTGACAAGGTTAAAAAAGAGTGAGTGTCTTTATTTAATACAATAGACATCATAGTAAAATACTCTAGTATTCTATCAAGAGTTACTTAAAAATTAATTCACTTTTTTTAAAAATGTATTCTTATAATTATGATACTGTAAAAGTGATAACTTCAATGGATGGTAATAATTATAAATTATTTTATTGTATTCAATTATTATAAATTAATTTTATTTTTAGAAATGCAAGAAGCGTTTCAATTATTTGATATCCGAGGAGATAACAAAATACATATATCACAAATTGGTAATGCTCTACGAGCATTAGGTCAAAACCCAACTGAATCTGATGTCAATAAATTTACTCAACAACACAAAGCAGGTAAAATTAATTATTATATTGCATATCTTAAAAACATGATTTACTTGCCTATATATTTGCTTTCTTAATAGGTAAAAAAAAAAAATTTAAATATAAAAAATAAAGAATATAAAATATGGTACATTTTATACAATTTTAGGTTTAAAATAGGTATGGATTTTTGAATATTATATTTAGTAGCTTGATTCTTTGATTTTAGTCAATTCTTGAAGATAAAAAGGAATCGATATATTTTTAGATATTTTAATTTTAATATTAAATCAAGTTAAGACCAGGTATATGAAATATATCATTGACAAATTTCAAGTATTTCATTTTAAAATGAATATACTAAATAGAAAAAAAATGTATGAAGTTCTTAGCTTGAATGTTATTTTTATGATCAAAATCTTATGGTGAAAACATTTCTTCTAAAAATATCTATCTATATATTTGTTTAATAATTTAGAGTATTTTTAAACAAATCATTCTATATCATAATGGCTAAATGAAATAAAGTAAATATATACAACACTTAATTTTACTACATTTTTATAACATTAGTGATAAAATATGCTGGGATCTAGTGAAAATTATTTCTTTTGTACATTCATACCAACCATTGAGACCTGTTCTATTGAGGAAGGTTATTATTTGGGGATGTACCGAATTTAAGCATTCTTTCTTTAGTCAGATTATTGAATAGTAGTATAGTAGTTGTATATACTTTTTTTTTACTTTTCTTAGTTATATAACCATTTTAGATTATAGTAAACAACTAAAGATTGAAGCAATGTTAAAATTTTATTTTTTTCAGATGAAAGAATAACATTCGAAGTATTTCTGCCAATTTATCAGGCAATTTCAAAAAATCGATCATCTAATACTGCTGAAGATTTCAATGAAGGATTACGCCATTTTGATAAAGATGGCAATGGATATATATCATCTGCAGAACTTCGGCACCTTCTTACAAGTCTAGGTATTTTATTTTTGTTTATTAACAAAACAACATAATAAACATAGTAAACTAGTAATTTATTTTTTGTCTCCTTTATTTATATATGTAATTATAATATGAGCTTCTCCTAAATGTTTAGTTTAACTGAGTTTATTATTGGTTAACTTATTATAGCCATGAATACTAGACATTTCTGTAATAGTTAATTTACATTTAAATCTCTATTTCAGTAATATACTTTAAAAGTTTAAAGTATAAGAAGTTGATCACTTCATTTTTATTTCTAATTTGAGTATATATATTGCTGTAGGAGTGATCTATACCAGCGGTTCTCTATCTTTTTAGTACCGCGACCCAAATTTCCCCCAAAAAATCTTTAATGACCCACATGGTTTCATTTTTCAAAGAGTAGTTAAATAAAAAAAAATTTTATTTAAAATAATATAATATATTTCAATTTTTTTAACAAAATTTGTTTATTAGTTTTAAATTATTATTTTTATTACTGTACAGGTTTATAATCAATATATTTTTACAAATGTACTTTAATTAATAATAATCTGTTTAACATTAATTTAACATACATTTCTTGGAATCTGTATAATTTAAAAAACTGTTTGTGACCCACCAAAAATTGACCAACGACCCACCAATGGGTCGCGACCCACAGTTTGAGAAACACTGGTCTATACTATTAATATTCAATTATATAATTTTATTTTATAAACACTTTGTTGTGAACAGGTGAAAAATTGACAGATGATGAAGTCGAACAATTATTGGCTGGACAAGAAGATTCTCAAGGAAATGTTCTCTATGAAGAATTTATTAACATGGTTATGTCAGGTTAATATATTATATTATGAAATAATTGGAAAAATTTAAATGTATTTTTCTATTTTACCAGTATTTAAACATTAACCATTTATTTATATTGAAAATTTATAAATTTATTAATATACATTTTTTTATCATTCCAACACTAACATTACTATTGTTTGTTAATTAAATAGTTGTTTTGTTATTTGTAATCACATTCCATAAAAAACAATAATTTTCCAATTTAATAAACCAGTATGCATTGGTCAAATTGGAATATCTATATATTTTATATTTATTGTTTATATTTTTAAGAAATTATTTTTTATTGTGTTTGTTTACTAATCAAAATAAATATTAAATTTTAATCATGAACTTGAAATGTTTTATAACTCGTTAATCAAGATGGATTTAAGTCTGTCCATAATAGAATATAAAAAATATTAATTACATTTTTATAAAGCATTAATAGGATGTATTTATTTAATTATGGCTATAAAGATACTCTTGAAGAGACACCAGAGCTATGTAATAGTAATGCTTAATAAAAATCTGTTGTATGTAAAATATATTGAGTTAGAAAAGTATTCGATTAGTGTTTTGAAAACGTTTTGACTGATGGTAATATAGTTATAATTAATTCAAAACTTGTATCAATATTTTTCTTGATAAGAATTAAAAAGTAAATATATTTATTTAACCCTTTCACAGTCCCAAATTATATTTTGATTAAAAAAAAATAATAAATATTTGTTATGTTATTAAAATCAAAGGTAATTTAAAAATATTTTACAACTACATGTACTTCAAGAGAAATTCTAGGCAGTGTGTTTTTAGCGTTTCTGTAGAAGAAGACGATAGAAGGGAGGTTATTACCATGCATAACAATAATAGTTATCCATTATGTGGAAATAATCTGTTGAACAGAATAAACTTTGATTGTCATTAAGAAAAGTACTCTTAGTGTAAATTGGCATATATATGTAAATAGTATTTATTAATACAAGAATAAAATATCACTTTCTAATATTTAGAATAAAAATAAAATAACAAGCAATCGACATACAGATGTAAAATGTAATTTACTTTACAATTATATTAGATATAACTATACAAGTATAAGTGTTATTTATGCATAAACATAGTAGTTGTTGCTATATTGAAATTATTTTTTTTTTTTATATAAATGAATGAAAAATATACTATTTATAAAAAAAAATAAACAAAAAATATTTATATAAAATACTTGTAATATTGTAAATATATTTTTCAATTAAAATAGTTCATTTCTTCATTTTATACTATTTCTATACTATTAAGTTAAAATGTGCGTTTTAATTAATTTACTAGTAATTAGTAATTTTATATTTTTTGTTTGCAATAAAAAGATCAGTCTTAAGAACTGAGAATGTGAATGCATATTATATATTTAAGTTAAAAACATATATACTTAAAAAACAAGTAGGTACTTAACCATTAATAAATTTATATATACAATATAATTTTAAATAAATCAAACTTGTTATTACTAATTATATAAATATTCACAGAATTGTGGCTAAATAATATTTATGTAATATGGTAATTAATAATTTACCAAAACAGATAAAAATGTCTAGAACTTAATCTAAAAAGCCCCTACCACATACATCAATATTCAATAGTGATGTTTCAACATTATGAAAAATAATACAACATATCTTTTATCTATTTAAAAAAACACTGAACAATTTGTTTTGAATAAACACAAAAAAAATATAACAATACTTTTTACTTCTCTTTATAATTTAGCATTTTCAAATCTACATATTTTAAACGTGGACGGTACTTTTTATACAATTTTCTAAAATGAAAATTTTTTCCAAAATGCATGCATGCTATTTATCGGGCAAGATTTGACATTTCTTGTTTGACAGTTAAGAGGTAGCGTGGCGGATGAATAATTATAGTTGAATTCCGCCTGTTATTATCTATAATGTTTTAATCTTTTCAAGTAATCTTTCAATGAATTCCTTAAACAAACAATTTAATAACAATACATTACAATGTTTTTAAATTTCATATCAAAAATAGTACATAGTGTAACAAAACATTTTTATTAAATAAGATATGCAAAATTGGATTGTTAAAAATTTAAAGTAGTAAAATATTATATAAATTTAGATGAAAAAAAAATGTATCAAATCACACACATTCAATACATTTAAAAATATATAGTAAATAATAAACATAGTATGAATATATAATACTCTAAAATATTCATGCATCTAAGAACTAAAATCATTTGATAAGTTCATCTAGTTATATTTTTTACACTTACATAAACAAGATCTAACTAAAAAAATGTTCCTAAATATATCATTTAAATACTTTTTAATTATAAAATAGTGTATTATATTGTATACTAATTTAATTTTACATACTTTGATATTTTCTTTAGATTTGGCAGATGACAAGAGTTTCTGAAAAATAAATTTTATTTTAAGCAAATACAATAACGTATCCATAAACATTTAAAATAATTATTTATTACTTGAAGAAATATTGTACGCTGACAATCGTCATCCATATCTAATAGATCATCTATATCAACTTCCACTTCACATTCTATTCCTTCAATTGCTGGATCTCTCTGGAATAAGGCACATAAATATATAATTATTATAAGTTATAATTTATAATATGCAATGTCTGTAGATTGTAAGAACTACTTTATACTTAAAACCTATTACCAACATTATATTGATTAGAACTATTTTAAAACATAATAAATAAATATTATTAAAGGAGATAAAAAATGATTTTATGATATAAAACAAATTAAAATATTTTGATATCATTCTTGATTTAATCTTTAATATATGTTAAGCACTCCTAGCCATATACTTTTAAAAATAACTACATTTTTTTCTGAATTCCAGAAAAAAAAATATGTGTAATATATATTTAACAGATCAGTGTAATGCAGGGGGATTTAGAGAGTTGCAACATTCACATATTACTATGAATATAACAAATTAAGAATTAAGGGAATATCATACCCATATGTGTTGTCTCCGTCTTTCTAACGTAAAACATATCAAATTTGCTTTTAGCGGGATCCATTTAATATTAGAGTTAATTTACCTATTATTAAACTTAAAGGTAAGAATATGATGTGGAGTGTCTCATAAGTTTTTATTGTTATTTAAGTGAGTTATGACTTATGAGCATTTTAAATTTTTAATATTTTATATAGCTAGAAGTTAGTAAAGTAACTTATTATCTAAATGTTCAAGATAATATTAATATTTAATATGTTTATTAAAGTGTAAACTGATATTAACATTAAAGCTAACGGCATAATATGGATTCTGCTGAATACAAATTTTATATGATAAATGTTAGTAAGATAGAGACAACATATGTGGGTATGATTAAGGGCACCAGCCAAAAAATATTAGTATGTTGTACCCGTGCATTTAGTAAATAAAGTCTAAAAAGTCTTAAAAATATCTAGCAACTTGAAAAGTATCCGAATTATTTTATTTAAATTTTGGTTTTAAATATATAATTTTCTATACTTATTGGTTCATAGTATTAAGCTCACAGTTTTATAAATATATATAAATTAATTAATATTTAATTTTATATTAACACAATAAGTCATCATTATTAATAATTTTAATTTTCTTTAGTTTATTTTTATCAACTGAAAATTATAATTCACTGAATATTAAAAATATAAGTATAAAGCCAGGTACAACACTTTTATCTTATGAATAAAAAAGCTAAGACATTTTATTAAAATGTGCTGGAATCATGGGCATATGACTTGATAATAATTTAAGTAGAACTTGAATCAACTAGGAAGGTGATATTAAAATTTATATTATTAATTAAATATTAAGGCTTTGTTTTAATTATTGGATCACTCTATTTTAGAAATTACAATACAGATTAATAATATCGGATTCATGTTCCTTACCTGCTTATGATATTGGTTAATTACAAGCACGGCACTAGAATTTTTTTTACATGGGCTAAGATTTTTTTCTTATTAGATAATACTAGTAGGTTAATCCACCGTAAAAAGACTGAAGATGTTATTTGTTTAAACTTCATTAATTAAATTATTGTGATCTATATTAAATTCAATTTATTTAGTAGTGACAAATATATTAAATAAACTAAATATTGATATTTTACACAATATCTGTTTATGCACCAAACAGTAAATGATTGAAAATCTTAAAATGTTAAAATAGTTAACAAAAATGTATAAAATTGCATCAATACCAGTAGGAATAATATTTTTTTAAATAAAAATTTGTGATTACCTACCTAATAATATTATTTAACAAGTAAATTTCAAGTATTTAGTTCAATACATTTTTAAATTGGTATTTGCATAGTATATTATGTATTAAAGAATTTACTTTGTATTTTTTGTTAAATTTTGGAGGTTAAAATAGTTCATGAATAATATTAAAATGTAGATACTTAAAGAAATCCTTTCTTTTTATTAATTATTAAGTAACTTTTTACACAATATTAGTGTATTAATTAACATATAAAAAATAATAAGTAAACTGAAAATATTTTTACTTGTATACAACAAACATTAAATTAAATTAATAATATTCTTAGGTTTTTGTGTATAAAATATTAATATTATTAAATCGGTTTTTATAACAGCAAAAACTTAAAACATATATCTTTGAAAATACGAAAGTATTTACATAATATTATTAATTTTTAAAAAGTATATTTCATAAATTCTCTGATGTAGCTCTTTTAAAAATAATATTTTATGACTTTATTATATCATACATATTTTTTAGTAGGGGGGTTGGCGAAGGGGCTGAATTGTTTTCTGGGGGGGGATAGAGCCCCATCTTGCCAACCCTTGGTGCCGTGCCTGGTTAATTAAAAAGAATGCAATGCAATTTTTTTCAATTTTCAGAATTTTTATTAAATGCCCTAGTTACTAGTTTCTTAGATCTAAAACGTCAACACTCTAATCCTATGGTCCAAATTAATTTGTGCTTTCTACAAATGAACAATGGTATTAATGGTAATATTGTTTTTTTAAATTACTTTTCGAGTGTGAACCTATTATACTCCTAGTAAATGCTTAAATATTTGTGTTATCATCTTCAACAAGAAATATGAGATACCTACTATCCTTTTTAGTATTTACTATTTACATTAACATTCCAAAGCCTGATACGAATTATGCAGGATTTAATATACTAATTACATTAAATAATTGTTATAAAAAGAACCCCTTTATCTTTTTTTAAACAAATTGTAATATTATTTTATTTTTCTAATATAGTAATTCGTTGTTTATGACATAGGCGATAGGCATTAGTAAAGAAAAGGTTTTTAAAAAATCAATTCATAAATGGTTGAAATTTGTAAGACACCGGATTCCACTAAAAAAATACAATCTAACCCGGGCAGCACTGGATAGTACAACTAGGCCGCGGTTCTTACAATGTCAAGTTAAGTGCCTGTTAACGGTTAACCGACGGTTAGTGGGATTTTTACCGGCAGAATTCCACAGGTTAAGTGTTCGTTAACTTTAACCGGACACTGTAAGAATCCGCTCTAGTAATAAAGAGGATTCCACCTAATGTGGACACTAATTAATATGGGAAAAATTGTTTGGTCCCAATCCCAATGTATACAAACAAGGTTAAAAAGAATCGCATAATATGGGCACTTGGTTCTGTTTATGTGGGCAATTTTTATTTTATCATAGAGTTAGAATATACATAAGAGGGTAATCCATCTGATAAGTTTGAAGCGTGTGCACATTTTGTAAACCAGATCAACACTAAACAGCTTGACAACGAACAATTACAATTGTTGTATACCTTCTACACCAGGGTTCTCCAAATTTTTTTTATCCAAAGGCCACATAAAATAAAAAAAGCTCTTAGCGGGCCAAAATGTATGAATACATTTAATTTTCGTATATAATTTATAAATTACAGCTAATACAGCTGATAATTGCTCGTGCGCGCGATAACGACTATGAAAACTAGGTATATATATTTTTAGAATATTTTCCGTTATTTGGCGGGCCGGTGAAAACTTATTCGGAGGCTACATCCAGCCCGCGGGCCGTAGTTTGGGGACCCCTGTAATCTACACCATAAAAGTAATTTTATTTAGTATGTTATATTTAATTTTATTTATATAGTAATTTAATATTTTTTTCAATTGTATGATTCACGTGTGCAAAATTAATTTTTTTTTTGATGTCATATTTTTTTTTTTTTTTTTGAACTAATTTTGGTTTATATGGACAACCGCTTAATATAGACAAAGAGAGGTGATCCTAACGTGCCCAGTGTATTTAAATAAATACAATTGTTACATTTTCTTAATATTTTGTTAATATTTGAATTTGAATTTCATTAAAATAATATGTCCACACGAAAGATATTAGAACAACTATAACTTATGATGAACTTCGATTATATTTTGAAGTTATATGAGGGAGAAAAAATGTAATCAATAGCTTAAATAACTAAAAAATTTCAAATAGTTATATATAAAAAAAAAAAATTATTATTTAACGATTATTAACTCGAAACTGTTATTTGACTAATTAGTGAAATTTTTGTAAAAAATGTGGTCTTATGTGATTCAATATTGATTTAATTTTAATAATAAAAAGTTGTAAAAATTATTGGGCTCGTCAGGGATTTGAACCCGGGACCTCTCGCACCCTAAGCGAAAATCATACCCCTAGACCAACGAGCCGCTTCTTCTGAAGCCACTATAATCAACTTATATAAACATTTTTTATCAGTCCTATTGCTTTTAATGCTAATATAATATTAAAATGTTACGATACATACTGAGGTAAAACGATAAATTTAGAAGATAAATACACACTGAGTATTAATTAATTGGGTAGAATATATAAATAAAAAAAAAAAATTAAAGAATCACAATTGATCTACGTTACACAACGAGCCAGTTACCTATTTAACCTTTTTAGGTACCTACCTACTTAAAAATATATTTTATATTGAGCCATTGGACCATTTAGACCCATTGGTAGAAATCTATAGTCAGTGGAGTAAACATGCGCCTGTCACCCACAAATGTCTAGAGAGTATAGATTACTATTACAATAATATTAATAATGATGTTTTTAAGTTTTTTACCATTTAATAATGGAAAATTGATACCTATCGTCGGTACCAAATGCGGGTAATGGGGGAATATGGTGATGAGTGAATACGGAGGGGGTAAACCATTGATTTTTAGAACACGATTAGATGAGAATCTAGTGACATATTCTCAGAATTGCAACATTTCGTTTAATAACAATAAATTTGTTGTTTCTAGAACTATTAAATTTCTTTACTATTCAAGCTGACACACAATATTCACAAAATATCAATAATTTTATCATAATAATTAAAATTAAAATATTTTTAATGTTGATATCTTTTTTATTTTTTTACAGTTTTAAGCCGATGGTGCCGCGAGGACTGCTTGCTTAGATGTTATTATACTTCAATGTTTTTATAAATACTTTAAGTAGATTATTTTAAAAACAGTGTTATGTTTAATACAGGATTTTTGTCTAGTGCCAAGTATGTTTAAATGTTTTAAATACATTTA